ATAGGTACCACTTCGGTGGGAAGGTAACAGCGTTCTGTGCGCCTTGGTGTTTAGTCATGCCGGCCACATGACCACAGAAACGTCTTCGGACAGTGCTGGCTCTTCGGCTTTGAAACGGAGATGAGCACTGCAACCCTAGAGTTGGATTCGAATGGCTTTCGAGCAAGGGAACCTTTACCTTTACCTATAATGAAGATATTTATCAGATTCAGGAATAACGACATAATGAAGATGTTTTAACAGAATGGCTTTCGAGCAAGGGAACCTTTACCTTTACCTATAATGAAGATATTTATCAGATTCAGGAATAACGACAATAATGAAGATGTTTTAACAGATGCAAGACCAAACAAATATAACAAGCTTATTTTGGTGTGTAGTTAAATGGAATGGTGATTGTAATGTGAGACAATTAATATTAGAATGGTAGACTGGAATGCATTTCTCTGGTCTGGTGTCAGAGGAGACGTAACAACTACACGACCAATCACCCCAACCTCAAAGAATAGGATGCTGTTCGCTACCTCCATGGCTGAGAGGAGATGAATGGAGCATAATGCAGGGTCTCGGTTAATTACTTTTTAGCATTTCGCAATTAAGAATGAGACATTTTAGACATCAGTCTCCAAGTCTGACATATTTATTTGCCTCTCTGCGCTTCCCCCAGGGAATTGAATCCAAACAAATGGTGTTCATGTGGACTTTATTTGTTATCTATGTTTGGTCTTTGCAACTGTTAAAACATCTTCATTATGTTAAATGGTAACCGTATAAACCAAGCTTGTTATTCCTGAATCTGATAAATATCTTCATTGTGTTGCATGCTAATGTACTGCTCAATCTCTGCCTATATGCGTGGACTGGTAAATCCCATTTCACTGTATATGAGGAAGCGTGCATGCATATGAAAGTTCATACAGTGAATAAAACTTTGTTGGTCCTAAAGGTGCCACTGGACTCATGCCTGATTCTAATGCAAACTTTAATCAGCCAGTTTGGTGTAGTGCTTAAGTGTGCGGACTCTAATCTGGGAGAACCGGGTTTGATTCCCCACTCCTCCACATGCAGCTGCTGGTGTGACCTTGGGTCAGTCACAAGTTCTCAGAGCAGTTCTAACAAGGACAGTTCTGGAAAGAGCTCTCTCAGCCCCACCTATCTCACAGGGTGTCTGTTGTGGGGAAGGGAAGGGAAAGGAGTTTGTAAGCCGCTCTGAGACTCCTTTGGGTAGTGAAGGGCAGGATATAAATCCAATCTCTTCTCTCTTCTTCTGGTGTGACCTTGGGTCAGTCACAAGTTCTCTCAGAGCTGTTCCCTCAAGAGCAGTCCTCGACAGAGCTTTCTCAACCCCGCCTGCCTTGTATGTTTCCAGGCCCGACTTGATCACCTTCTGTATGTAAAGCCCGCCCTTCGTCCCTGAGCTGTGCACCTTCCCCCTTAAAGGTAAAGGTTCCCTTGCTCGAAAGCCAGTCGAGTCCACCTCTAGGGTTGCGGTGCTCATCTCCCTTTCAAAGCCGAAGAGCCAGCGCTGTCCGAAGACGTTTCCGTGGTCATGTGGCCGGCATGACTAAACACCAAGGCGCACGGAACGCTGTTCCCTTCCCACCGAAGTGTTACCTATTTATCTACTTGCAGTTTCTTGCTTTCGAACTGCTAGGTTGGCGGGAGCTGGTCATAGAGAAAGGAGCCATGTCCTGGCACACTCGGGTCTCGAACTTCTGAACTACTGACCTTCCATAGCCTGCAGTTCAGTGTCTTAACCACTTGAGCCACCGCAGCTCCTTCCCTCTTAGACAGATCTAATTTCTTCATAAGGGATGCGCAAGCTTGCTTGGTGTGTTTGTGTGCTAGGACTCTGTGGCTTCCCCCGGTGTGCTGATCCCATGTTATCTGCAGCTAGGTTTCATTCAACTTCATTCATTCTATATATATAAGAGCTTCTGGTGAGAAGCGGCGTAGGAGCAGTCGGCAGCTCACTGTGTTGCCCCATTTGTGCAGGATTTGTGCCGGCATGCATTCTCTCTTCCCCCCCTTCCAGTAATGCATGAGGGAGGGGGCAGGGCAAAGTGGTAAGACCTCTGCAAGAAGAAGAGATTGGATTTATACCCCGCCCTTCACTACACGAAGAAGTCTCAGAGCAGCTTACAAACTCCTTTCCCTTCCCCTCCCCACAACAGACACCCTGTGAGGTCGGTGGGGCTGAGAGAGCTCTTGACAGAAACGGCTCTTTTTCAAGGACAGCTCTTATCAGAACTACGGCTTGCCCAAGGTCATCCAGCCAGGTGCATGTGGGGGAGTGGGGAATCAAACCCGGTTCTCCCAGATTAGAGTCCGCGCACTTCACCACGACACCAAACTGGCTCTTGGGTTCAATCCCCAGGTTCAATCCAGTTGAAAGGACCAGGCCGTAGGTGATATGAAAGACTTGATGAGACTCTGGAGAGCAGCTGCCAGTCAGAGTAGACAATATTGGCCTCGATGGACCCCAAGGGTCTGATTCAGTAGAAGGCAGCTTCATGTCAGGGGCCGTTGCTCAAGGGAAGAGCCTCTGCTTGGCATGCAGAAGGTCCCAGGTTCAGTCCCCGGCAGCATCTCCAGTTGAAAGGACCAGGCCGTGGGTGATATGAAAGATCTCTAGATGAGACCCTGGAGAGTTTCTGCCAGTCTGGGTGGACAATACTGACCTTAATGGACCCCAAAAGTCTGATTCAGTAGAAGACAGCTTCTGTTGAGCGGCTGTGGCTCAGTGGTAGAGCCTTTGCCTGGCATACAGAAGGTCCCAGGTTCAATCCCCGACATCTCCAGTGAAAAGGAGCAGGCAGGTGGGGGTGGGGAAGACCTCTGACTGAGACCCTGGAGAGCTGCTGCCCGTCTGAGTAGGCAAGACTTACCTCGATGGCCCAAGGGTCTGATTCACTAAAAGGCAGCTTCACGGGAGGGGCTCAGGGGTGGAGCTTTGGCTTGGTATGCAGAAGGTCCCAGGTTCAATCCCCGGCATCTCCAGTTAAAAGGCTCAAGGTAGGAGGTGATGAGAAAGACCTCCAACTGAGACCCTGGAGAGTTGCCGGTTGAGTGGACGATACTGCTGTTGATGAATTTGTTTCAGTAAAAGGTGGACTCGTGCACTCATGTGTATTCTGGATCTTGGCAGTGAGGCCTGGAAGTCGCACAAGCCGGTGCTGCAGCAGTTCCTTGCCGACTTCTCCCTGGATGCCTCGGTAGCGGTGGCCCTCCATACGGTGCTGCACAAACCCTTCCGGGATCAGCTTCAACAATACACTCTCATCCTCTCCAAGCTCAAGGGAGCTGGTGGCCAGGTACCGGACTGCCGAGCTAGGGTTGCCAGGTCTAGGTTGGGAGATTCCCGGAGGTTTTGGGGTGGGGCTTGAGGAGAGGAGGGAACTCAGTGAGGTGTAATGCTATTAGGTCCACCTTCCAACGCAGCCATCTTATCCAGGGGAAATGGTTTCTTTAGTCTGGAGATCAGGTGTATAGAATCATATCTCTATTGAAATTCATCTTATTTGTCTCCGCCCACTGCTCCAGACTGACTAGATCATTTCGAATCCTAACTCTGTCTTCTTCAGAATTAGCAATCCCAACCAGTTGTAATCCCAAGAGTTCTCCAGGTTCCACCTGGAGGTTGGCAACTCTAGTTTTCCTCCCACTAGCTTCTCCCCCCCCCCCACCTCACTCCCTTTC